GAGGATCTGCTTCAGCAGGAATTTCGAAGCAATTACATGCTTTGGCACACCACTAGCTTGCTCCTGTCTCCATTTTGCAGCAGTTCTAAGCCTCCTACATAACATGAATCTCAATGAATTTATCTGCCCAAAATATTTAATAATTAGCCTGTGTAATTCTGTTATCCTAGGGACTGAAGCATCTAATATAAGCACTTACAGCATTTAAACAATCAACAGTAAATGTGTTGTGCAACTACAGAGCAGGAGTAAAATCATCAAAAAAACAACTCATTTAACAAAATTGGCTAAAAGGGAAAGTAAAATAAATAATAACTATTAGTTCAATAATTCACCTTAGAAGAACCTTAAATTGAATATTTTGACAATTAAATTAACAATAGTGTAAAACTAAACCCTAGAGTGTGAAACTGCATTCAATGGATTAAAAAAAAAAAACCAAATAACCTCAGAAGCTTCTTCAATGAACGAGAGAAGGGAAGGTGATAACCCAATTAGAAGGGAAGCAGCAACTTCCAAGCATCAGGAGAATAAAGAACCAAAGGAGGAATAACTACTGTGATAATAATCAAAGCATACAATAAAAGGAGAAAAGACGAAATAAATTGAGTGAAATACAAAGGAATGGAGATAATTGGATGCAACTCATTATCCGTCGAGCTAAATTTGTTCTAGCTCTTTCCCTCTTCCTACCCTTCTCTCAATCTCAACTTTCTCTCCAACTTCTGATTAGTCCTATATGACTTTTAGAAAGCCTCTTCCAACATGATCCTTTCTAGACCTGTTCAATGGACTGGATCAGTGTTGGGTTGGATAAGATGGTAAAGGGTCGGGCCGGGTCAGGGTCAACTTGTTTATTGAACAGGCCAGATCGGGGCATGGGTCATATGGCCCGGCATATTAAATTGTATGAAAAACATATGGCAGCAGCTTATTTATACGGCAAATTCAAGCATGAAACTACTCACAACTATTCTCAAATCATGGTCAGATTCAAGCCTTCAATTATTAATTATACTTTTAAAACTACTAACTATCAAATACAAAAAAATCTACAAAATATTAACCCCAAAACTCTGCAAAATTATACTCGAAACACAAAAATAGGACCGTTCCTAATTCAAACTAATTGAAATTTGGCCATTGCTACTTGCTACCTCATCGCCGATGATAACATCATCTTCTCTGGCGACAGTCGAAGCGCCACCTCATGAAATGCCGAGATCTGAAAGTGGGTGACAACGACAATGACTTGGTGTATTCTCAGCTCGAATTTAGAGCCAAGTTTCAGATGAAGCCACAAGGGAGGAATTCAGGAATTGTAGCAGAGCATACTTTTGAGAAAATGGAAGATTGCGGAAGGAAAAGTGAGAAAAGATAATTTTTTTTAGAAAAAATAAAATTTTAAGACCCTATGAGGGCCCGACACACCCCGTTAAGGATCCATGATTGGCTGCTCCTTTAAGGGCCCGCCCTGTTTAATTATTGGACGGGTCGGACCCGCTTACAACTGGGTTGGGTCAGGGCTTTTAATGGGGCCCCAGTCTATTGAACAGCTCTAATCATTTCCCCTCCCCTCACTCACTCTCTATCTCATTCTTTTTACCGCTCTCTCTACCTCCAACCTTTACTATCTCCTTCCCAACTTGATCTATCTGTACTCTTTTTCTCAACTTTTACGAGCCTCATTTCCAAGTCTCACTTTTTACCCCTCTTTTTATATCACCCACTTATCTTCACTATATCTCCCTCCTTCCATCCCTCCCTCTCTTTGCCCTTCTCCTGGGCATATCATGCTGTAATATAGTTATGCACTTTCAGTTCACCAAAAATATCAATATATTTAATCTTCTAAATTATACTTAGATTCTGTCCAATAGCTGATTCCTCAACTCTTTTCACATGACAGAAATGCATACTGCAAAATGCATAGCAGTTCATGTTATACTTGACACCAAAAAAGTAGAGAGCAAAGGTGCAACATAATTTTGAAGATTTGAATGCTACAATTACCAAATAATTCATAGAATTATAGGATAAAGGACTTCGACATAGTAGACAGATTAGAGTTTCATAATACTTAGATTATTTCATTACATTGTTTCATAATACACCATGATGTTCATGTGTGTTTGTGTGTGATTTGCATAGGAATCAATATGAGAAATCTGCTAAACGCATTTATTGCAAAAGTGATGTTAACCAAAGTCGCTCCTCCAAACAAATAATGAATACATCCATCCCAAAACAGAAACACAACATATGGAGTTCAAATTCAGCAGCAAGTATAATCTTCAGCAACATTTGAAGATGCAATGAACATAAAAACACACATGCAATCAGATCCATTTCCCTGCTGAAATTCTTCTTCTTCTATTAAACACAAATAATGCCATCATTTAGCATATGTGAATAGGGAAATAGTATAGATAGAAAGGCAAATTGTAGTAATCCGTTTGAGGCCACAATCGACACAAGCAGAGTTCGAAAGGCACGGAGAATCACCCTATGGTTTATTTTATACACCCAACCTTCAATGACCTTGCTCTGCAAATTGGGCACAACTTATCAATAAATCCATCCCCCAGCTAAGGAGAAAACCAACAAATTCAGCAATACACTAAACTCCAGCAAAATATTATTATTCATTCAAATAAAAACACCCATTTACCCATACAAACCCATAAATCAATCAGTCAATAAAATGTTCAAGAAATCACATGAAAAAAATAAATAAATAAATTAAAAAAATAAGAGCCAAATTAAAGATCAAACCTTTCTCAGGAATCAAAATCTAAAATGTACCCAGGTTATGAAAATTTCTCAGTATCATCTTCATCAGCAAAATGATAAAAGTGCCCTCGTTCACATCCCTCCCTTTTCTTGGAATTAGACCCTAACGAGTTAACTCAGTGCATCCTTTCACATCATCAACCAAACCACTAAAATCTTGATTCCATGAACCAGCTCTTATTTAATCATTTCCACCAGCATGATCCCTGAAAAACAAGAGTTTCACACTCATGCAGGAAAGAAGGATAGTACAAACATGGAGCTGGAAGTTAATAATTATGTCCCAAGAGTAAAATTATGAAGTCTGCTGCCAAATGACATCAAAGAACACAGCTCTGTGGTCCAAATAAACAATAATACTACATGGATCTTTTTATTGTTCTATAATGGCACAAATAAGTAGCTAAGTATGTGATAATAATCTATTTTTCATTTTGAAGAGGACATGATGAGGGAAAAAAAGGGAGGAAGAAAGAGACAATTAGAGATTTTCCAAGCTGAATAGTCATGCTGCATTGGTTCTTTTTTTTTTTTTTTTGTTTTTTTTTTTGGGGGGGGGGGGGGAGGGGGGAGCAATACAATTGATATAGACCCCTAAGAACCAATGCAGCATGACTATTGCAATTGATATAGACTCCTTCCCTCTTATTGTGGGGATCAACATAAATTGCAATAGTCTTAAGGTAAGGTCACTAAGATCTTAGGAGAAATCATCAAACACTGAAACTCAATATGGAAGTGCACAAAATAAAATGTATATTATGCATAGCAGAAACTGTAGTCAGAGTCCCATCACTTGAGGCACCTAGAGTACAATTAAAATCATGTAGATATATTCAAGGTAAACTGAAGCAATGGCATTTGGTTTTCACAACCCTGGCAAGGTCAATTGGTTACAATGATTAGCTAGCTTTTGAAGACACCAACATTTTATATAGGTGCAAACACTGTATGTTAAAACCAAATAGCCAAATTAGCTCTGCCCACTAGCATAACTTTTCTCAACTACATCAATTGCTCCTCATGCAAACATTGTTGCAAATACATCTAGGCTGTACTAGCGTACAGCTTCAGTTCGAATTTTCTGTAATATGAAGGACCTCAAGGGCCATACTCATATACAATATTCAGGTATCCAGAGTTAGATATTAGTGAAGTTACTAAAGTTTTCTACTACCTCGCGTAAAACTGGAATATGTAAATCAGTTAAAATGCTGGTTGTCCATATTTCAAGAAAGTACATTTGCTTTTCATTCTCATTGGGTTACATGGACTTCAAATCATGGTATTAAATCTAGATTGCATCATGAGATTCGTGACTGCACTGTAAAGGATATTTGAGCTTACCGTGACAACATTTTAAGGCTGCAACCGCTGCAAACCATCCAAATTGCCTACAAAAGTGATTCCACAGCTGTTACCATTTAAAACCATGCTTCAATTCACTCCAAAACATATCTGCACACAATCATTTGAAAAGAACGAAATCCCAAATATATATAGACTCGCTGCTGTAGTGTAGCTAGCTTTACAGAAAGAACAATTATTGCTTTTTGTCCTATGTTTTTCCTGCTGCGAGAACACTCAACACAAGCACAATGTCCTTGATAATTTAAAAGGATATAGATAAAGGGAGGGAGGAAGGGGATATGGGAAGGTACAAGAAATAAAATAAAAAACAATAGGAAGAATTCACCAATGTTCTCTGACTATTTACAAACTTGAACCCAAAGAAGCAATAAATTTTAAAATGACAGCTTTTGATTACTCCATAAATTTTAAAATTACATCTGAAATACTCAAAATCAAGTTGCTCCCAATCTTTCATACACACAAAAAACAGATGACAAATGCATGGATAATAATCCTTGTTTTTGTTTTTAGTTTAGTCAGTTTGCTTTAAAGGCTTTCACAAGTCCGACCACTAATATACATAGTATTTAATTTCCAACAAGTAAAGATTATAAAAGATGACGCTTTGAAAGTATCTATCAAGACAAATATAATAAGACCCCACATGAATTTTTTTCCTTCCATATAAACCACAAAGACAGTCAACAGAGATAGTGTCAAAGCAATTAGTGCGCTAACATTAAAATAAATAGATATAAATAAATAAGTGATTCAGGCTAAAGTGTTAAACTAAAAGAAGGCAAAGTTCAATTAAGCACAGTTGAGTATAACACAATAAGAGTGCGATCAACAAATCAAGTAAAATACTTTTTTTTAGTTTCTCATTTCAAGACAACAAAAAAAATTGGAGCAATACTAGTACAGCAAGAACATATGACTTCTCGAAACCAAAATTTTAACTTGAGCAGATATCCAAGAACAAAGGAGATCATGAATCCAAAGTGTAGTTTCAACACTTGATTCTATCCATTACTAAACATGTGCTCAAGATTCTATCCTCTACAAAATGTAACATGGGGATAAAAAGTAAAAATGTGCTTAAGATCATATCCTCTACTAAAAGTACGGTTTCTGGTAAGAGGTAATTAACATACAGATGTGAAAGCAATACTAGGGTAACAAGCACTATCTCTTCCCAGCAATCCTCATCAAGGGGGATATTATTCCTTGAATCTCCAGTAATGACTGTTGTATTCGCAGCTCCTCTTGAATGGTTCTCTTCAAGTTCCTTAGTTGAGCTTTAAGGCCATCAGAACCTCGAATATCCTCAGCTCGCATTTGAATAACCTTGTTGGCAAATGGCATCAGTAAACCAGCATACCTTGGAAGAGTTGTATACTTCTGCAAGAACACCAACAGCAGTTCAAGCTCCTGAACATCCAAATTTGTCACACATCTGAACAATTTCTTTCTTGCTATCAATTCTTCCATCACAGCAACCACATTTTCTGGATTCTTCTTCTGAAGAACAGCTACAAAAGCATCTTTGTGCCTGAACTTCTTCAATAGCTTGTCATGCTCTGCCAACTTAACCTTCTTGGGTCTTAATACCAAATATTCACCTCCTTTGGGTTTCTCGCTTTGCCCTCGATGAAAATACCTAAAGAACGACGGCTTCAACACCCTCTTCCGCGGCTCCTCCCTATACTGAAATCCCACAAAATCCCCTACACTACGTTCTTCCACTTTCTCCTTCTTCCTCTTTGCCATATATATAATCCCATTCGAGGTTCCAATAACTCGTGTTGAACCATCAGGGGAGAACCCAACCGACACCAGAGGCGCAGGAAACCTCATAGAAAACGTAATCTTCAACTTCGAGTAATCTAGCACCTTCAAATACCCGTCTAACCCAACGGTCAAAAGACGGTATTGATCGGATTCCTCCCCACTATCCTTACCCACCTTACCAACACAAATCGACGTCACGGTCTTATTATGACTCTCCATGGAATACACACATTTCCCACCTCCAATCACATCCCAAATCTTCACCACATTTCCTCCAGCAGTAGCAATCAACCCACCAGAAGGCAAAAATGCAACATCTTCGACGGGTTTTCCATGATTAACAACCATTGCAGAAGAACCTAATTTAGAACCCCTAACATCCCAAACCCTAACTGTATGATCATAAGATCCAGTAACAAACAAATTATCATCAACAGGAGAAGCAGACCCACTTCTAACATAATCCTTATGACCCAAAAAATTGGACAAAGAAGTTTCAGTTGCAACATCCCAATACTTAACAACAGAATCATCACCACCAGAAAACAAATGCAAACGATCCACTCTAGGGTATTGAACTAACCTCACAGGCCTGGAATGCCCCTTCAATTGACGAAGAGCGTTTCGGGTTTTCGCCTCGAAAACATGAATTACTCCAGATTGGCAACCAGCCGCAATGAGCTTGCTATCGGAACGATACGAGGCGGAGTAGGAGGTGTCCTTAAAGGAGCGGATAGTAGAGGTTGGCTCCGAAGGTGAAAAGGGGTGGTGGGGGTTGAAGAAAGAGAGGGAAGCGCTGTATGTAGCGGCGAAATGGTGGGGAGATTGAGGGGAGAAATCAATGGAGGTAATTGAAGAGACTAAGCCAGATATTTCATGGGTTTTGAAGGATTTCCAGAATTTGGATTCTGGGAGATTGTTGGATTTTTTGGAGGTGGGTTTTAGGCGGGGTTTTGTGGGGAAGGTTTGAAGCTCTGCCATGGTTATGGAGGATGAAGGATGGAATGCAGAGGAAGAAGAAGGGAGAAGAGGAGAGAGATTTGAAGGGTTTAAGGGGGCTTTTGGAAATGGAGTGATGGTGTTTTAGAAGTAGGGTTTAAGATTATACCCACCCAAGTCTCCATGACCCGTTTGGATAGGTTGCTTGGGAAATTCATGTATACTAGTTGTACTTGTAGTCCATTAGTTCATTCGTCTTAATTTATTTTGTCCCATTTGACTTTTTACGTTTATCAAAATTTATTTTAAAATGTAAAAATGTTTACTTTAGACGTGTTAATTTTATTAGGTTTTGATATTTACATTTATAAAATGTATAATGAGATCTTGTCAAAAACAATGTGTAATGAGATGAATATAACTTGACCCATAAAACTATAAAAACTACTTTGTATTATAGATTAACAAAAATTTATAGTTAAAGTTTCTAAAGTTTGCCCCAAATTTAGACAATGGGGCAAAAAAAAAATTAGGGTAGAAAGGGAGTAAAAGTTAGCTACTCGCCTACTCTGTATTGGAAATATGGAATGATCACATGAGTGATGTTTCGAGTCACTACTTATTATATATTACTCCTTCCGTCTCTTTTTTTTTTTTTTTTTTTTGGCCCCATTTGACTTTATACTATGGTTGTCAGTTGGGCGAGTTAAATAGAAGACTCGCCTCATCCCCGCTCAAACGGGATAAGGATGAAGGGAGGATTGGCTATTTGGCAGGTGATAGGGTGAGGATGAGGATAAAATTGTACCCGCATGGGTGATTGGTTGGGCATGAATTTTAGACTTAGACTTAGGGAGGTCAGTGGGGCGGGTCAAGTTGGAGACTTGCCCCATCCTCGCCCTAGTAGGACAAGGATGGGTCTCGGTTTGGCAGGTGGTGGGGCAGGAATGGAGATAAAAACCATGCCTGCCATGGGTGATGGGGCAGGAGTGGATTTTAGGTTGTACCCACCCTAGCCCCGCCCCGCCCCGCCCCGCCCCGCCCCACCCCACTTCATACCCACCCCATACCTAGATTTATATATTTTTTAAAACTAAATCTTATACTATTATACTATTTTATTAAAAAAAATTATGTAAAATAAAATAGTAAATATAATACTTTGTAATACACTAACATTTATAAACAAAAAAATGTGTAATATTAACATTGATTTTCCTGACACTGTTTTTAAATTGAGGTGATTCTTCAAGAGGAGTTCGGCTTCCGCCCGAACGTTTTTTTTTTTATTTATTGTAATCTATATTAATTATGTAGGATTATGTATTTGGGAGGCGGGTCTTTGGTGGGGATCAGGTGGAGGTGGATATCCAAGTGGGGGGGGGGCAGGGATGGTTATGGAATTATACCCGTCGGGATGGGGATGGGATGAATTTTGGACTTTCCCTATACCCTCTCACCCCACCCTATTTCCACTCTCAGCGCCTGAACTTGCAATCATCCTCGACATGGCCTAGCTTACCACACTTGAAACAAACCATTTGTATTCCTTCATACCGAATTCTCCACACTCGCCCTTTTAACCAGAATTTCGACAACAGTGGTTTAGATAGATCAATCTCAACACTAAGTCTAGTGAAGTAGTGAACTAACCTTGTTGTGCTTGAGTTGTGGTCTTGTCAACACGCAACACTTTTCCAATTTTTAAACCTATTTTTTTCAAGAAATTGATGTCAAAATATTCCACTGGTAAGTTTGGAATGCGCACCCATTTCGTAAGAACTTTAATGGGAGATTCATCAGGGACAATTTCAGTATCCATTTTCTAATCGTTAAGTAATTATCATCTCTTCTTGGTTAGTGAACCTTGCAATATAGTAACGGCAAATTCAAGTTCATCTCAGAGATCAACGTTTAATTTGTTGTTTATCTCGGAGGTTTATGCGTCATTTCGCAATTATGTGTAAGGGTATATATGAAGTTCACAAAATTAACAGATGGTGACTCAGAAACGGCAGTTTTTATTGACCGTTTTCTTTGACCAAACTAGACTAAGGAAAACTTAGGAGAGAGAATGTGTCATACGAATTATTGATGGTCATTCATGGCAATAGTTGAGGTAGTATAAACGAGGCGAGTGTAGAGCTACATCGCGAAAATAGTACGATGGGTCGTTGAATCTGGCACCCCTAATGTTTGGATGCTTTGTCGGCCTTTTTACCAGAAGTGGGTTGTGGCTGTAAGGTCTTTGGGCAAGCTGGCTGGGTCTCCGTGTTGGTTGTCCAGAAACGTGGTCGATATCAGTGTATTAGATGACTGGTTGTAAGTATTAATTGCTTTAGTTTGATTTAATTGACACTGTAACGTACTAAGTTATGTTGAGCTTGCTAATTAGACTGAGTGATGTTGAGCTTCCTAATCAGTTTATCGAAACAATTGAATGGCCTGCAAATTAACCAATTAAATTTTCTGATAAGTAACCAATTGAATGTTGCTAATTAAGAAATTGAATTGTGCTAAATAACCAATTAAATATTGCTATTTAACTAATTGATTGTCCTGCGTGCTAATCAACCAATTGATTGTTTGAATATGCATTGTTATCCTGCTAATTAACCAATTGATTGTTGCTCGATGTTTGTTATACATTGATAATTGTTGGCATTCAAGTTCCTTAATAGTCATAAACCCTCTATGTGCAGTTTCAGGTGCAGTTAATTCACATAGGAGAATGTGTTCCTTGGATGATGGGTGTGGTTTGGAAAAGGTGGTAATTGTTATCTAATTTCCAAGTTTAAGTCTAGGTTAGTGGTTGAATTCTGCATTTATGTTTACATGTAATGTTGGAAATTTATTTTGTGAATACATGTTAATAATGGATCTAGCTTAGGCATCCTCATAGGAAAGGGTTGCATAGTGAATTGTTTATGGTATGGAATTAGAGAACTTAGGATATGTAAAATAACCTGGCTTATCCAGTGTATTGAGGGTGTTAATGCATTGCTTCTTTTGTGTAGGATGATAGTATTAGTGTTGGTGGGAAAGTGAAGGGAAATGGTGAAGTTATTAAGAAACAATGTGATGTATGTATTTTGTCGAGTATGTGATTATTGAATTAGATCATTACATGGCCTTGTTTAATTAATTTTTTGTATGTGTGTTGCATGGCTCATTTGTTGAATTTAATTGCAGCCCCGAATATGAATTGTCATATCGAGACTTTCAGTAGAATATGTCATACATTTGATGAGAGAAGGACAAGATGGGTTAATGAAATGTGGTTTGGTGGGTTGTTGAATGCTCCTAGTGACATTCACTTACCCCAACAATCAGGTTATTGGTTAATGAGTCGTATCGATCCTTTGAATAAGTTGCTTATTGCCCCGGATGGGAAACATTTTAGGTTATCATCTAACCAAGTGCATTGGGTTTTAGGCATCCCTAACGGTGGGTTGCCTGTTCCAACTGGTAAATCCATGTCATTTGAAATGCAAAAGAAAGCGAAAAAATCAAGGAAAAATACGGTCAACCTTCTAAGACAAATTCCCGGAAGTATGAAGGTCGTGTTTACACATCTTTAGGTATACATGTGAATTCGAAGTTGATGGAAAGGTTGGAGGGTGGATGGGAGTCACACGAGGAAGAAGAGTTTAAGACGATCTTCCTATTATTATCACTTGAGATGGTGTTATGTCCAACTCAATCTCCTAGATTAGCGGGTGACTGGTGTGATCTTGTTCTGAATAAGTTGATGTTCAGTGTTACTAGTTTTGCTCATCGTTTTTACATGACTGGTGTAGCTGGTGGCTGTGGTGGGTGTACCATTTTTGTTGTGGTATGTTGTAATTACCTCAATAACTACTTGTTTTATGTAATGTTTCCTCTTGGATTGCCTTGGTAATGTGTGTCTACGTGTGTTATTTAGACAAGTTGAACCGGTTTCTTATTCAATCGGGTGATTTTCCTAGGATTAAGGTCTGGAACAAGAATGAGATTAGTGTAGCCATCAAAGAGGATCGAATTACAACCGGAGGTGACTACGGTGTGATGGGGGTAAGCAATAGTTGACTGTGTATTATCTTGTGTCATTTGAATGATTTGGTGATGGTTGTTAGTCTCTTATTGGTTTCCTTTATCCCGGTAGACTTTGGATGTCGCGTATGGGGAGCACCACCCAAAGGAAGCCATTGACCTTAATGGACCATCGAATGCTAAAGAGGTAGCTTGTTGCATTTACAATTAATCTGAACTTTGTTTATAAATAAATGAAAGGACTTGCATAGTGATTGATGCTTGTTATGCCGCATGGAAGCCATGTAATCTTTGATACATCTGACCATGCGCATAAAGCGAAGAGAAGGCGTGGGGCGCCTCCAAAGGCTTTTCCGCAACAAACTAAAACTAATAAACGCCTTGTTCCTTGTAATGACTCTCTTGATTCATTATGTCCTGTACACTCGATTGATAAGCCCCCTTTGATGAAGCAAATCCACGGTTCTACCTTTTCTCACATATCCGGGGTCTCTAATATAATACAATTCCATGTCTATCATTGTGTCAACCTAGAACTGGTTTGAAATGGTTAGCTGTGATATATGTTAAATGATTTTAAAAAATCATCATATGCTAACTAGTTGATTGAGATTGATGTGGTGTGATGTAAATTATAGGTCTATGTCTTCTGAACAACTTTTTGCCTTACAAAGAATTATGGCATGGGTAAGTATGTTGTAAAACTTTCTATGTTATTCACATTCAATTGTTTCGTAGGTGTTATATATGGTCTTATATGTGGAATCATGTAGTTTGGTAGGTTGTATGCTATGCAATTGAGCGAACCAACTTGGAACCCTTTGAAAATGGATGATTATGTGAAGGTAGTTGCTTCAATTATGTTACAAAGCTTGATAATTGTAGGATTGGCTTATTTTTAATTTCGATACGCTAATTATGATTATTGCAGACAGAGGTGGTGTTTTGTTCTAGTGGGGCTGTTGGCTTATGCTCTCTAGTACGTATCCTTATTAAGTTTGTTCAAACTCACTCGACTACATTTATGGCCCTAATTTATGAGGTATTGTTTCTTGTACTTCTTCACCATTTGTGTTGTGGTTTCATCATAAGAGATTGCATTATTTTTTCATTCCAGTAATATCAAAGTTCTTTATTTGATCATTAGATGTACTGTGGAGATGCGCTTAAACTTCCCTTCGTAAGCAACTTCTGGCTAG